CAAGAACCTTGGTTTTAATAATGTTATTTTGGAGACGGATTGTATGAACGTCTCTACTGCTTTTAATTCTCGTTGTGTTGATTTTTCTTATGTTGGTTCCATTGTAAAGCAATGTTCTACAATTGCTAGTGATATTGGGAACGTTAAAGTTTGCCATATCAAGAGGTCAGCAAATCAGGTCGCTCATGTTCTTGCACGGGCAACCGATTCTCCGTCTGTCCTGGGGTCGTGGTTTAACCGCTCGCCCTCATGTATTGCATCTTTGTTGAGATATTAATGAGATTGGTTTCGTTTTGTTAAAAAAAAAAAAAAATGCCCCAAATAAACATAAATGAGAATATACCCCTCTTACAGGGCCGGCCCTGGGGCAAGGGCAGGCTGGGCCCTTGTCCAGGGCCCATGTTTGGGGAGGGCCCCATCCTATTTTTACAGTAAGGTGAATTAGCTTGGTTGGTAAGATGTTTTAATTTTAACTTCATTTAATCAAAGGCTGGTGATCCAATCCTTCCCTTCACATTTTAGAATTTCTCAACCTTACTTTTTTACTTATATTCTAATGTATATTTTCAGAATTTATTTTTTGTGTTTAATATGGAGTAGTATTTTTAATGTAGCTTTTAAATATATAAATTTTCATATATTTATACTAAACATATTATGAATTTTTTATATTAAATATATAAATTTTTATATTAAATTTTTAATGCAGTTTCTAAAAAAAAAATTATCTATTTAAAAGAAAATGTATTTATAAAAATTATATAAATAATATAGAAGATGTGTGATTTATAATATGCTTTATGTTCAAACTATTTTATCTAGATAAATAGATTTCATATCTTTTTGTATTTTTTTTATTACGTTTTGAAATATTTTAATTTTTTGCTCCTAGTCAAAAAAGATTTTTACCTTCACATATGTTTGTAATTATTGTTTTATAAATTTTTAATAATAATTAATTTATTATTTATTATGATAGCAATGTTATTGTGTATAAGTTTACTCGGTTTTAAATTATTTATTCATTTTTATAAACTATAATATTATTTATTTATGAAGGAACTTATACGATTATTTATTATTTTGCATTAAGGAAAGCACCGGAATTTTTTTTCAGGATTAGTGTTGTGTATGCAAAATTGTTAAAAACTTCTTAATCTTATTTAAAGTTATTGATATTAATAAATTTTTCCTTATTTAATTTAAATTTTATGCATGAAATATATATTAACCGGGGTCCATTTTTTTTTTTTTTTATTCTGCCCCGGGCCTATAAAATGATAGGACCGGCCCTGCCCTCTTAAGCCATTTTCTATTTTGGTCTGCCACACAGAACCAGTGTCGACACCTAGCTTAGATCGCCAACAAAGCTACGCCCTTTAAACTCGGACTAATTATTTAATTAATTCCGTTAAAGAATGCTACTAGCTCTATTCATATACTTAGTCTAGGTTAGTTGGAAATGATTTAATTTAGTCAGAATTCCTTAATTAATTGGTGTGGTCCATGGAACATCGTGGACCCTTGTCTATATTGAGTCGTTATATCATAGACCGCGGTGCATGTGCACCGCGGTAAAAAAACGACGTCGTTTCTTTAAGTAAAGAAACGGTCCGCCGTTATAATTAACAGAGTCCGCTTGTTTGGTGTATTAAACATCAACTGACACTACAATATATCTAAACCGACACTGCAGTTATATCGAAATGATACTGTAGTTATAGTGAAATGAAACTGCAGTGTATATAAAATGAAACTGAATAACATTTCACATATTTAAGTATATATTGTACAATGAAGCTGTAATTATATCAAAATGATCATGTAGTTGTGTTTTAATGAAACTATAGTGTATATAAAATAAAATTAAATAACATTTTCATATATTTGAGTCTATAAATATCGAATGGAACTATAGTTATATCGAAATGAAACTATAGTTGTGTTGAATTGAAATTGTAGTGTATACAAAATAACACAGAATAACAGAGTTACTTTATGCAAAAGGGTGCGAAACGGCGGAAAACAAACACCGTTTCTTTTCATTTAAAAAAAGGACGCGCGGTGCATGATTGATCATGCACCGTGATGCATGATATAATTTGCCGTCTATATTAAAGCCTTAAATTCAATAAATATTTGTTGGGCTTGAAAATAGTTCTAGAATTTAGAGATTAAAACCTTTGGGCTTAGAAAGTTTGGGTCAAGACTAGACATATTTTGAGGCTTAGAAATATTTTTGGCTCAAACCAAAATCATTAGACTCAAGAATTAAATCATTTTGGGTTTAAATCATTGTAGGAATAAAAATAATCAGGTTACGTGCTTACGTGGCAGCTGAGTCGGCATTTTTTATAATTTTTAAATTATTTTTAATAATAAATTTTAAAAAAATTGAAAAAACATTAAATTAAAAAAAATTTCCCAAAAAAATAAATAAAACGATGGCGGCCACCCCGTTGTGTTTTTTTTTTTAAATAAAAAATATTATTAAAAATTATTAAAAATGTAAACTCAGCTGCCACGTAAGCAAATAACCTGATAAAATTGATGGTAACCTGCTATCAGGTAAAATTGCATATATTTGTAGTGTTCGATGGCCTAATTGCACTTCTTTTTTTTTTTTTCGTTCAATGGCCTAATTGCATTTTCAGGTTACGTTCACTGGCCAATTTGAACCTTATTTCAATAATTTATTTTTAAAAATTTTATAAAATAAGAATTCGAGAAAAATATTTTGAGTTGTCAAAATTTATATGTCAAACCATAAGTTAAAAAGCCACCAACTATTCCCCTTACTCCCTCAAGCACGGATTACGCACATAATGAGTAGACATTTAACCCCTATTATGTGAAAAACACTCAAAACCAGCTCCAAGACCATCTCCAAGGGGAGCACTATCTCACCAAAACAAAAAAAAAAACAACGCCAAAAATCAGCTCCAACCATGCGCTATTTCACCAAATATTTGGCGCACTGTGAACAGTGCTGCGCCATATTTGGCGCAGCACTGTTCACAGTGCGCCAAAACGCTATAAGTTTTGTTTTTTTCATTTTGACCCCACTTTTTTGTTTAATTCCTTTTATTGTTTTGTTTTTTGTTTTAATATATTTGTATATTTTGTTAAATTGTTAACTATAAATTTTATATTATTTAAAATGAATTATATCATTTCAAAGATCTCATCAAGACGATTAAAATAAGTCTAATATTGAACATAGATTAATTAAAAATGAAAACACATAAAGCTTAATTATAACAAAATTAAAGGAAATTACATACTTAATTTAAAGCTAACACATAAAACTTAATTAAAACTACTTTAAACATACTTAATTTAAAACAAACACATAAAACTTAATTAAAACTACTTTAAACATACTTAATTCAATAATCTCCTAGGCCAGCATCATTTCCTCCCAAATGATTAAAATATTGAGTAAACTGACTGCTTGATTCTTCTCCTCCAAGTGGTTGACGAGCTCTCTTTGCATGAATTTGTAATTGTGTATTTTTAAGTCAATCACGCCTTATTGGATCTGTGATGGAATCAACATCTATGCTCATGATTCTGTTATCTTCTTGTTGTTCCGCCAACTGTAGTTGCTTTGCTTCATTTTGAGCTTTTATCATTTGAAGCTCATAATTTTGTTGGAGTTGAGTTTGACTTTGTTCGAACATTTGTGCGATTTTTTCATTATGTTCTGTGACTTTGGCAAAATAATCATGACATTCTGCAAATGCTTGTTTCTTCTTTTTTTCCTTGTTACGTCCGGTAGGACGTTCATTGTTCAAGCCCTGACTTTCGAAATCATCGTCTAAGTTAAGGCAAAACGATGATGAACCTATTGACTTATCGCCTTGTGACTCTGCAGCTTCAATGTCAGAACTTCGCTTTCGACTTGCAACACTTGGTTCTCTATCCGAAGGACTTTGAAATTTCTCCAAGTCTTTAACAATAGGCCATACATGATCAAATTTAAAACCATTTTTAAATTTGGCCTCTTGTTCCATTAGTGCTCTTGCCCTATTAATCTGTTATAACCACAATTAAAGTAAGTAAATAACACAAACGTTCAAATTATTCACAATTTATATATAAACACAAAATACTCACAATGTCTTTTTCTGAAGCTCTACTAAGATTCAAGTTCTCAACCTGTACAATACATCCTCTGAATTTGGCGACAGCTTTTATTATAGTTTGCATCCGGGACGTAATTGACCTCAATGATCGAGTGCTTCCAACATTTGCTGGTAGCGCTTCATGATAAGCATTCATAATACGAGTCCAAAATACATCCCCAGCTTGATGGTGACCCGTAGCTTTATCTTGGCAAATATTAACATACACATGACAAAGGAGTTTATCTTCTTCAATAGAGGATGAACTAGTTCGAACTGTGCGTGCCTTGGACATTTTTAAAAAGAGGATGGAGAGGAATATAGAATAGAGAATTCAAAGAGTTGTGGTTTCTGATTTGGTGGTGTACTATTATATAGAGTGAAAGCAAAAATCAATTAATGGCTAAGATGGTTGTGATAAAATCCTATGGTTGAAAGGAATTGCTTTTGGGATTTGGGAAAGACATCATGTCAGATATTGGATTGTGTGTTGGAAGTATATGAATACCAATTAATGGCTAAGATGGTTGTGATAAAATCCTACGGTTGAAAGGAATTGCTTTTGGGATTTGGGAAAGATATCACGTCAGATCTTGGATTTTGTGTTGGAAGTATATGAATACCAATTAATGGCTAAGATGGTTGTGATAAAATCCTACGGTTGAAAGGAATTGCTTTTGGGATTTGGGAAAGATATCATGTCAGATCTTGGATTTTGTGTTGGAAGTATATGAATACCAATTAATGGCTAAGATGATTGTGATAAAATCCTACGGTTGAAAGGAATTACTTTTGAGATTTGGGAAAGATATCATATCAGATATATAAATACATGGCATACACACTTATCTTTCACCATAGCAATCTTGAGATATGAATCCCTCACACCCATTTTCATCCTTACCCCAACACCCATCTTCATCCTCGCAAGAGGATGACGATGATCTCATTGCTATAATACAATCACAACAACAAGCACTACTAAGTACGTATGCTAACAACAATGCTGCCATGGCTTACTGTTTGGAGATTATGTCTACTCAAGCCATCAACCCAAGTCATGGCGGTTCAATTTCCGGGCATAGAGTGATTCACCGTGACCGTGAAGATGGTGATCGAAGATTACATGCTGATTATTTTTCAGAAAATCCAAAATATAATGAGGCAATATTTCGTAGACGATTTCGAATGAGTCGAAATTTGTTCTTACGAATTGCCAATGTTGTTGTAGAGCACGACAATTACTTTGTGCAACGGAGAGATACAGTCGGTAGACTAGGCTTGTCTACTTTACAAAAAGTAACAGCAGCATTTCGAATTTTGGCTTATAGAGTAGCAGCAGATGCAACAGATGAATACATCCAAATTGGGGAATCAACATCAATTGAAAGTTTGAAGAGATTTTGCAGAGCGGTCGTAGAGGTCTTTGGACAATGCTATCTAAGAGCGCCCGATGCTAATGATGTTGCAAGGTTGCTTGAAATTGGTGAGAGGCGTGGCTTTCCAGGGATGCTTGGGAGTTTAGATTGCATGCACTGGACTTGGAAAAACTGTCCAACAGCTTGGGCCGGCCAATATGCTGGGCGTAGTCGAGAACCAACTATTGTTCTCGAGGCCGTAGCTGATTATGATTTGTGGATTTGGCATGCACATTTTGGTTTGCCGGGGTCGAATAGTGATATTAATGTGTTGGAGGCATCACATTTGTTTGCAAACATTGCAAATGGTACGGCACCTCCTGCTCATTATGTTATTCAAGGGAAAGTGTACGATACAGGATATTATTTAGCTGATGGGATATATCCGAAATGGTCAACCCTGGTACAAACTATTCATCAGCCCCTAGGACCAAAGAAAAAGTTATTTGCAATGATGCAAGAAGCATGTAGAAAGGATGTAGAACGTGCATTTGGGGTCCTTCAATCAAGATTTGCAATAGTCAAGGGACCAGTACGTTTTTGGGATAAACATGTATTGCATGATATAATGACATCATGCATCATAATGCATAATATGATAATGGAAGATGAATGTGATGAGCAAGTCGATATACAAAGTTGGAGAGAAGCACCGGCTCCTAAGGTTGATATATGTAGAGATGAAAGAATTGTCTTTGAAGAGTTTCTTGCTCGACATAGGCAAATAAAAAATAAAGAAGCACATTATGCGCTTCGTGATGCATTGATCGAGCATATGTGGGAACATTATGGTAATTCTATCAATTAAATGTAGCGGATGTTCTATAACTTATTATTGTGGAATAAAATAATATTTGCATTATAATTATATTGTATCCTTTTTTATTTTTATATATTTACATATTTCGTTAAATATTAAACATAAATTGTATATTATTAAAATAAAATTATATCATTTGAAAGATCTTATCAAGACGATTAAAACAAAACTAATATTAAATATAATTTAATTAAAGTCTAATTTATTAAATTACAACTATTAGTTTTGTTAAAAGAATAAAAGTATAAATATAAACTTTATGAGGGGTGTAGGAATAAAATTTGGTGCAAAATTTGACGTAATTGGTTGGAGATGAAAAAAATTTGGTGTAAGAATATATTGAGAATATTCATTTTTGGTGTAAAATTTAGAGCAGAATTTGGTGCAATGGTTGGAGATGGTCTAAATCGCATCAAACCCTACTTTTTAAGCACATGCATCTGTTTAAATCGCCATTTCACTAATGAAACACACAATTGAACAATACCCATAACCTCTGCCGCTGTCGTTGCCAGAATTTCTCGCTCGCGTCCACCGTTTACTTGAACCGCCAGCGATCTCATTAAACTCCATCGGATCCTCGCTACTCTCCCGGGTTATTTATTCGCGACATCTACTTCAACAATGGAGATGGAGTATGTGGAACTATGGAAAGCGTACAGGGGAAGAAAGACTTCACTATTATGCCGCTTCCCTCCTAAATCGAAGATTATTAATTTGCCCCGACTGCAAACGTTCTCTCCAAATTTAAACACCCAAATCCCAAGATTGTAGGCACTGCAGAGATGTAATCTTGGCCGTGAAAATATTTTATTGGATGGTCTGGATTACATAACACATTCTCACATAAAGCCCTATTCTCACCTAATTAAGGATACACACGCACGGGCTCCGGATCCCATGAGGTCAGATAGATGGATGTGATCATGAGATCCCATCCCATCCATTAAATCAATATTAATAGAAGGCTGAGATTGAAAGAGATTGTAATGTAATTAAGGTAGTATTTTAACCATAAGGGTGAAGAAGTAATTTTAATAGTGTAATTATTTATGGTTACAAATTAAACGGAATATTTACCATATGAATATATGTAATATTAATGGTAGTAGATTGCAGTAATATTATGTTAAATGGTGTGATTAAAACGTGGTGAGCAAGAAGATATCGAAGGTGTACTAATTTCTGTGGCGGAAATGGCTAATACGGCTACAGGTATGTGCATTTGAACTGGGTTTGTATTGGTCTTTGTGTAGACGTGTGTGCAGTTGGTATGGTGAAGTGTGTGCGACCGACAGTGCATGTGTGTGCAACTCCATGTGTCGGCGATAATCGATTTCAGTTCAAACGGTATATGTCTGCGTAAAGGGCTATGTGGGTGTGTGTGCGAATTGTTAGAAGTGGTAGCAAAACGGGAAATCGAAGCTTTATAACCAGCATTACGTAACATAGCTATGGCGTGCGTTTGAACCCACTATGCATGCACCGCAACCTCTACTTTGACGTATGTGTTGCAGTCTGTGCGAAATGAAGTTTTTGCATTTTACATTTGATAATACAGAATATAGGACAAGTTGGTGAATGGGTCTAGCTTTCATATGGGAGTGGAAAAATGTTAGATGATAGGAGATGTATGCACCGGTGTTATTATGCATGTGCAAGTTGCTGATTAGCTTAAAGTTATGAACGAATTGTAATTTGCAATATATGTGTAATGAACCAATCACTTGGTGAAATTGAGAACGTGTATATCCATTTGTAATGTGTAACTGTTTCCTGGAGTACAATGATAGATGAGAAGTTGTAGCTAATTATATTTTTTTTTATAGCTAATTACATGTTATTATTAAAGCACATAAAGAATAATGGGTCCGTAGTTTGAATGATGTCGTTTGAGCAGGGGTAGACACCTCGGCAGGAGGGACTGGTGGAACAACTTGGGCAGTAGGCAAACCCACACCAGGAGGTGCTGCAAACAACTCCGAATTGTTCTCTACACGAAAGACAACCAAACAAAATAACTTTCCATCCATAAAAAAATAATAAATGAAACAAACTCACCTCCAATGTAATTCGCACGTGCCATAACAATGCCCTGCACGGCAGAAAATAGAAAAGAACAACCCTAGCCAAACTATTGCACAGAGTTCGTATTGAATACTCCACAACCAAAAACGATTTAGAAAAATAAAACAAGAAAATGCCATTGACAGATAAAATAGATAGATAGAAGACCGAAATGTTACAAAATTAATCAAATTGATTAATCCGCACCCACCATATCCGCGAAGCGCACACACCACTAATAGTTGATTTAAAAAAAAATAAATAAATAAAAATAAACTCAAACCCAAAGACCAAAATGCAAATGAAAATCAAAAACATATTTATAACGAAATCGAACTTATAACGCACATAATAAATTAACATGGCTTGTGCAAACAAGTGTACGAATTAATTCCCATACCCTACACTTCAATACACAGTTGCACCCACCATAAAAAATAAAATGCACACAGCAATTGAATTTGCACACGCTGAAATCCTAATACGCAACCACCACCCCCCTACCATAACGACCAACAGACACATCACGCTGGACTAAAAATAAATTATTCTTTTTTAAAAAAATGAAGGGACCAAAACAACCCACCACCATAAGAAAACACAGGCCGGGTTGCCTACAAAAGCAAAATTAAACACACGCGGTACATATGTTACGTAGTGATAAATTAAATGCTACAATTTAACGTAATGCAACTGCATATAACCACACCCGCACACACCAACATATCTTGATTCACTTCTGGGTAGTTATACCTTCACTGCACCGTGAAAAAAAAAACATGACCATTTCACAGCACCAGTGTAGTTGCACACACAATAACTAATAACGCACTAACTTAAACTATGAAATTCACCAACTTAAGAACATATGCAAAACTGTTTCGACACATACATGAGGCCGTATTCGCAACCAACGCACCAAATGCAAGAAAACGACCCCAAAACATTTTAAAAAAAAAAAAAAAACTAACTACAATTAAAGCAACAACTCACCCTTCCCTTGCCGTACACCACCCACCCCATCGAAAATCACCACAGCCACACCAAACCTCCCCCCCCCCCCCCCCCCCCCCCCCCTAAAACGCCAAATACAACGACATGCAAACAACTTAGCGCCTGAAAAACGCCGTAACCCAACAAACAAAACAAAAAAAAAAAAAAAAACAAACAAAACAAAACTAGCGCAGCATAATACGGAAGAAACCCCGAACAATAAACCCAGATCGCACATGCCGAAATTCTAAAACGCACCCACCGCTTACTAAACATTACGGCAAATACACACCCCCGCCTAACATACAGTCCTTAAAAAAACACCCAAAAAAAAAAAAAAAAAAAAAAAAAAAGAACAGAAACCATTCCCCAGCCATCCAAAACACAAAAAAAAAAAAAACTTAAAAAAAAAATCAAAACAACTCCATGAACTAACACCTCCCTTGCCGAAACGCTAACCAACCCACCGCCAAACACCCCCAAAAAGCCCCCCAAAACCCCTCCCCCCTAAACCCGCCGACCACACAACCATGCACAGTCCCTAGACGCCGGAACCCGCCATTACCCGGAAAACAAACACCAAAAACAAAAAAAACGCCAAGCAAACAGATGGACGAGAAGCCCCACAAGTAAACCCTAACACCCCGGCTACACTCCAAGTAAACTGACCAAAACCATCCCCACATTCGTCTAGCCGACATACACATGCAAGACCAGCACAAACCCACCCACGCGAAAGAAAACGAAACATCATAAACGCGGCGACCGGAATACCTGGAATGCTATCGGAAGACGCACCCCTCTGACGCTTGGACTGACGGTTGGTAGAACCGGCCATCACCTCTGACAGAACGGCACAGACAAAGATTGACAGAATGGCACAGGCAAAGATGAACAACGTTGGCGCTAGAAAAAAGTGGCCGGGCGGAGAAGACACAGCCGCGGAAGAGATCGCAGGAAACGAAGAGACTACCAGAGAAGATACGCAATATGCAACGCCAAGAAGTTGAATAGACGGCAATTAAAAGTGCAATAAAATAAAACATCCGATTTGAACCATAATTAACTTGCACAAGCCCATAAAATCAGGTAAATAATTAATACTGCCTAATAAAGATACAAAGAAAAAGACATTAATGACCCTACATGTACAAAAAACCAGCGCACAAGGCAATATACCACATTAAATCTGAGACGTCAAAATATGAAAATAAATGTACAAGATTGAGCCTCACCACCTCATCTGCCAATGCTAACCTCACCGGATCCAAAATCCACACGCATATATATATTCTTCCAAAAGGCTGAACCTCAACCCTAAGGGCCTCCACACCATTTGGGAGGATGTAAATCATGGTGACTCAACTGAACATGAACCACAGAGGCTAGACCGGTGCTCTGCTCACTGAGCATAAGGAACCCCCTCACTTTGAGAGGTTGGCCTATGAAAAAAATACTACTATGTCATGCTCGTCGACCCATCCAGTTCTTACGAAGTGTTTTTTATTTTTTATTGTTTTGGATAATTATTTATCATTAGATGAATGTTAAAAATTGAAATCTTAGAACATAGGAACAAAACAAAATTGTGATGGCGATGGTGGCAACAACAATATTCACGGAGACGAACGAACCAGTTTTGGTCAATCAGCTGCACAATCTCCACGGATTGAGTTGTGACGAAAGTGATTTTAATTTTGTGATTAAAATAAGACGATAGAAAATGACAAATCTGAGAATATGTTTTAAATTTTTGGATGAAGTTATTAACTTTGTTTTTTAAATCTTATTTCTATTTTTGTGATTTTATCTGTAAGTTAATTAGTATAGAGATATTGGTTTTCTTGTTGACAAATTGGTATAGACGTACAATAAAAACATTGTCTGTTCATTATTTTATACATAAAATTAGCCAAGCTACTGACACT